CTTCCCAGAGCATATTCTGAGTGTCTTGGTAGGTTGAAGTGCCTGGAAAACCTCCAGCTTACATGTCCTGCTGGCTGCCACTGAAATACTTCTCACGCCGACTCTGTCATCTTTATCTTACTCCTTGGAGTGTCACTGTATCTTATTCCAGTGGTTCCCAAACGGTGTGCCGCGGCACACTGGTGTGCCTTGAGGCAAGTCCGGGTGTGCCGTGGGATTTTGTGACAACCATACGTTATTATTGCAATATACAACTACACAAAAATAATTATTTTTTAATTTACTATATCAGTACTTTGTATGCACTCATTTCATAATACAGAGGCAAACTCTATACCTAAAAACAATTCTTTAAAAAAAAATCCTCACAGAACCCCATATTTCGCTGTTAACGCAGTTGCACAGGTGGGAATTATAAGACCGTGACACATCAAAGGCTGAAGGACAACATTAAAACAGAGAAACACGCAAGAGGGAAAATGGAGCACTTTCTTGTGCGGAGCAAACCACCAACCACCAGTGCAGAGACTGCCGACAACCCACCACCGAAAGAAAAGAGGAAAAAAACTGTCAGCAGACAGTATCATGAAAGTTACCTGTCTTATGGCACTGCAGGCGAGCGGCAGATTTTCCCTACAAATAGACGAATCTACTGACATAAGTGGGGCTGCCCAACTTCTGGCAAACGTCAGATATGTTGATGCTGACTCTATCAAAGAGATGTTTTTCTTCTGCAAAGAAATAGAAAGCCATACTACGGGAGAAGAAATATTCAGGGTAACTAATAACTATTTAAAAGAGAACAGTCTGACCTGGAATATGTGCGTCAGTCTTTGCACAGATGGTGCAGCAAGCATGACGGGGAGAGTGAAAGGATTTATTGCTAAGGTGAGAGCACAAAACCCACATATCGTGACAAACCACTGTATTTTGCATCGAGAGGCATTAGTTGCCAAAACCATGCCCCCGGAGTTGACTGAGGTGCTGAATCAGGCTGTGCAGATGGTGAATTACATCAAATCAAGGCCCCTGAAATCTCGCCTCTTCTCCCAGCTGTGCGCCGAGATGGGAGCCGACCACCAAAGCCTGATCCTCCACACAGAGGTACGTTGGCTGTCACAGGGGAAAGTCCTATCCCGTCTTTATGAGCTTCGGGAAGAGCTTTTGGAGTTTTCACGTGAACACGCTGTCCCACATAAAGACAAGCTCGCGGATGAGAGGTGGTGCGCCAGGCTGGCTTACCTCGCAGACATATTTGGGCATCTCAACGAGTTAAACGAGTTAAACGTCAAGCTTCAGGGCAGGAATGAAAACATGTTATCATCCACAGACAAGATTCGGTTCTCTACTCTGGTTTACATGAAGAACAACAGGAGGTCACGGCTCTCTGTTGAACAGGTGACTTGCAAGTGGCCCTCTCCTCAGTGCCACTACACTTCTAAAAGTGGGAAATTAATAATCTTTTTTCTCAAAGCAATGATAAACCTGTGAGATGGATGTAGAAAAGTCAGAATCAATACAGATGTTTTTTATTTTAAAGAAAATTCAGATTGAACATATTAAAAAACTGTAAATTATAGTGTCCGTCCAACATTTATTTTTTACTTATAGGGAAAACCACCCTTGAATGATGGGATGGTAGACTAAAAGCTTTAGGAATCCAAAGTACAACATATAATAAGTACCCTGTATCAAGATTGATGCAAAACAAGTGACATTTGACTTTTTGAGAGAGGTTTAGCAAAAGAAACTCCACCTCTGGGGTGATTTGGGTGGAAATGGGCGTTTTTGCCGTTTCTCTGGAACCCATTGGTCGATTTTGATGATTGACATCTCTTTTGCGGCTTTCACACCAGCGCTTTTCCCTTTCTATCTCCTAGCTAGAGCTTTTCTGGTTCAGCTCCGGTTTCCCTTTTCAGCTCCCGCTCTGTTCACACCGCCCAGAGCTGCCGCTGCTGCGTCATGACGTCACCGTTTACATCGCTGATTTTCTCCCCAACTGAGCTCACAACAACAACGGGCCGGGGACTGCGTCGGGTCGATGATCGTGTTGCTTTTACGAAGCCAGATTAAATTAAATAACGACTTCTCCAACCTTATACTTTTCTCCAGAGTGCCGTGGTTCATTGTTTATTAATGTGTTTCAGCGGCATTTACCGACCGCTGCAGTGCTGGCTGCTCTTCCACGGGAGTTTATTCTCCCGTTAGCTCCGGGTTAGCTCACACGGCTCTAAAGCAGTGGTTCCCAAACTTTTTGTGCCCAAGGCACACCAAAGGACAAGTAAAAATCTCAAGGCACACCTATTGTGCAAAATAGCCCTTATAACACGTGTTATCACTCATATCATGTAAAATATCTGTAAATGTGCATAATTATTTACTAATGCCAAATAAAATGTGACAAAGACAACTATATTACTCGTGAAATATTTATTAACGAAATATTTCAGAAATTAATTTGAAACTTTATCAAATTAGGCTTCATCAAAGCAGCAACACACTCATTTAAACCAGACAGGTCACAAAATAAAAAATGAGGCAAAGGTAACTCAGCAGAAATTCAGCACAGAGAACTGTCAATGCAAGGAAGCTGCACTGTCCATGGTCCTGAACTACAAATGATAAATGTAACATTTCAGCAATCAGCATTGAAACATGTGCTATTGTAAATATTTTACAATATTTATTACTGGAAATGTCATTTTCGAGCCTGAGACCTGAAAAACAGGGATGGGGTTTAACAGGTTAAGGGATAATGTGCAGCGAGGCGGTCATTATGGGTAAAAGAACACCCTACAGGCTGATCAGGAGGCCGACGTGAAGCGGAGGGCTCTTGATCAGCATGAATGACCAAGTCGCTGCACATTATCCCGCTTATTACAAGGCCACATTCTCAACAAAGTAACGACATGACTCCCAATATTAATTGAAATGCTTTTATTGATTTAAAAAATAGTATTATTGATTTAAAAAGTAGTTTTATTGATTTAAAATGACATGCATCCGCTGAAAAAAATAGTCCGTTGTTACCGTTTGAACTACGTAGCAACAGCATAGCGTTTTTTTTTTTATTATAAATAAACTGTGAACTTTAATGCTACGATGTATGTGATGTCAGATTTTAACCACACAAAAAAATCGTAGGCTACGTCAAATTAATTAATGTGATACTTGACAACACTCATGTCTATCTATCTATCTATCTATCTATCTATCTATCTATCTATCTATCTATCTATCTATCTATCTATCATACACTGTATATATATATATATATATATATATATATATATATATATATATATATATATATAGTATAAATAGAGTATAAAACTACACCACTGCAATGATGATGAATACAGTAGTGTGAGAAAAATGATTGGGTTATTTTGTTACATTTTACATCCACTAATAATCAATATGTTTAATCTCTTTCATTATAATAAACATTTATATTTTCCATATTTTTCAATGCACCTTTTTCTTCTGCTCTATATTTCTGTGTTTGACTCTTGCAGTATTTTGCCTGTATGTGTTGTGAGGATCTGCAGTACTTCCTCCTTCTTTTCCCCTTCTATGTTTGTCTGTCTTCCTGGCTGGGCGTGGCTGACCTACATTCTGATTCCCGCCAACTCACCTCCACTGCTGTTGTTCATCTCACTGATTGCCACTACTCACCTGCACCTGCTTAAAACCCTGGTTCCCATCCTCAGACTTCGCCAGTTCTTCGTTTATTCTTCAGTGATCCACACACCTGCCGCTCTGCTTGCCACGTCCAGCCTCCGACTCCTCGTCTGTGTTTCCTCCGTGCCTCCACGCACACCAGCTCATCCTGACTACATTCGCCAGCTCTGGATCTCCGGCTCTCCACGCCGGTGCTCCCTCCGTGCATCTCCGCACCTCCGTTTCCCCCTGGGCTATCCAGCTCCACGTCTTCCTTCTCTGAGCTCCTCTCTACTCCTTGCCTGTGCCGTGGTCAAATAAAGACTATTGTTTGACACTTCACCACTGTCTCCGTCTAGTGTTTGCGTAGCGGGTTCTCATCTCCAGTCACTTCTCGGGAAGCGTAACATGTGTATTTCGTCATAATAAGTCATATGTTCATTGTATGCTTCAACACCTTCCAATTAAATAGCCTACTTGGTTATATTCTGATTCTGATTGTGTATTTTCTTTATTTCTCCTCCCAGGTAACGTGATGTCATTCCCGGAGCCCAGACCTCAGGCTCCTCAGCTTCCTCAACACCTTCTGAGGAGCATCGACTGCCAAGAATTACACCAAACAAATACTGTATGTTTTGTTAAGTCAGTAGAATATGATTTGCAGGTAGGGATATCTCTGCAGCTCCACCATTCCTTGTTCAAATGTTGTATTTATTAACTCAAACCAATACAGAACAGAAAGAGAAAAAAGTAAACGCATGAAGTACAGAACAAAAGAGAAGGGTCAGAATAACAGGTGCAAACAACAAAGCAAAATAGATAATTGCAGTGAGTTGTGATGGTTATAAACTTAAAGAGTAACAAAGACATTTACAAATTCAATTGGTGATAATGGAACTTTTACATAACAAATATGGATGAATAAGAATGTGTGAACATTAAGGCCGTACACACACCAAAGAGACATTTACTTTACACGCTCTTGGTAATGGTTTTCCATCAGTGAAATACGGCTCTTTACTGAAACCTAGTGGCAGCAGAATGAAACTGCAACTACATCAGCAAACACATGTTCCTCTCCAATATCCCGATGTGCTTTTCAAAAACAACATTTATTTTGGAATTTGGAATGAATCCAACAAGTAGTTGTTGATATTTCAGTCTAGACAAGAAGAAGAACATTGTAAAGAAATATTATTTGAATAAAGTTGATAAATGTACAAAACAATGGAAATTGGTTTGTTATTAGTAAATTATAACTCTGTAGTAATATCTACATTTTCCAACAAGCCAGCAGTTAGGGATCAGATCCCTTATTGCAACATCTCTACATTTTGTAATTTTTTTGAGGCAAAAATCATGTTACACAAGAAATATTTACAATTCAGTACATTAAGCTGTGAAATACTTAACAAAATCTTTACATTTGAGCCATTCAGATTAATAAAAACTAGGCTGAAAACTCATGGCCTCATTCATGGAGAGGTCCATCCTGAGACATGTATTTAAAAAATCCATATTACCCTGTGTACATAGAAATGTGATTGTAAAAGAACAGAAGTATCATCCTTCAAAAGCAACGCCTGCTGTGTTTATCTGGATTTGTTGACCGTGCTGTACAATGCAGCTGGATCCTCTTCAGGGTCCTGACCTCTGGTCCTGAGAGATAAATGATGTATTTCTTAGTGGTAATAATAATGCAAAAGGAATTAAATGATATGTGACTAATGGTCCTGTGTGAGGATCTGCTCACCTCGGGGCAGCACTGCTGAACTTGACGGCAGCGTACTCCGGGACTTCCTGTTGCTCCGTGTGTCTGAGGGGCTGAGCTGCTCTCATGTTGGAGTAAAGAGGATCTGCCCGGTTGTTGGAGAAGTGAACGCTGGCATACTGAAGGTCATCCTGCTGCTCCGGCTGATCAGGCACACACTGCAGGGAGGAAAACACTTTCAGCTACACATTTTTACATCAATAGATATTTCATTTACAGAGGAATGGACCCAGGGCAGAAAAGGCCAAAGCAACAGCAGCTGTGGTTATGATGGACAAATATCCCTGCTTTATCAACATGCTGATGTATGACAGAAAAGATTAAAGGATAAAAGATAGGAAAACTTCTGGATGTACTTGAAATGTACTCATGTCTAAGAGGAGAATCAAAGAGATTGTGATAGAAATTAACTTTTTATAGAAGGATGTAAAAGAGCAGCAAGAGGCCCTTCTCTGTCAGATCCATTTTCTATAAGCACTTAAAGACCACCATCATTATAAATTGAGTGTAATGTGTTTTCTTTTGTACTAGATTAATTACGTAAGCATCTATTCTCACCTCTTCCCTGTTGTCCGCTCTCTCTTCAGGCTCAGACGAGTCTCTGGAAGCCCTCTTTCTTCTAGTAAGGAGAGTTTATGAAGAAAAAGAAGATCAAATGCTGACACCAGACAAACAGACTTTTAATGATTTAACAAACAATGATTAAGATGAACAGATCTGCTCACCTGATCCACAGGAAGACAGAGAGAGAAATGACAGCCAGGAGAACAACAGGGATTGTTAAAAAAGCTGGTAGTAGGTTCCATGATCCTCCTGAGAAACAGTGATCAACAGAGAACAGATGGTTAATACAGCTGTGTTTCTCATATATGGATACAACGACCCCTAGGGGCACTTTGGAGTATTACAGGGGGTGTGTAATATAATAGATAATAATAGAATAGAATTGCAGGGATGAAACCCTCTGTAATGGTCACACTTGCAGAGCACACAGCACACACAGTGACATCTGTTCTCTGCTTTTAACCCATCCTAGTACTTGGAGCAGTGTAAGACTATATTTTCAACCTTCCTATTCCTAAAAAAAACTAAAAAACTATAATTTATTGTAAAAGTAATGTTAATCAAAAAACACATGTCCAATGTTCAAGAAGCTGAAACAAATGCAAATACATTCTTGATATTGTTAGTTTTGTGATGAACGGGTGATTATACTCCATTATTTCCTTCTCAATACCGATGGAATATCTCTCAGCCTGTGGGCACTTGCACTTGGCATAAGCTTCACAAAACAGACACAACTCTCACTCTTGAGTGCACAGGGAATGACTGCACCCCATACTGAATCTGGACCCTCAGGATAATTATTCCCTTATGTAAAAGAAAGAAAACAACCCCTATCCCGAACCGGAAAGGTACATTTGAACACACACTCCTTTTTCAGCATCCTACCAAGACAATGTGACTGAAAACAAACAAGCTGATAAGTGTGTGGTTGTAGATGAATGCATAAAACTTACCTGCCACAACAATCAGATGTAAGGTGGAGTTACTATGTCCTAACGTGTTCTGGGCTTCACAAGAATAACTCCCACTGTGTTCAGCTCTGAAGTCAGTGATGATGAAGATCTGTCCTGAAGCTTTTGGAGAGTCGTCATCCTCCTTGTACCAGGTGTAGTTAGCTGCTGGGTTAGCATCACTGCTACAGGTCAGAGTCACTGAACTGCCCTCCTCTATCTCAGCAGAGGGACTCACTGACACAGAGGGAAGCTTTGGAGCATCTGGAGGAAATACAATAAATCAACAAAAGATTACAAATACATCATGTTGAATTGAGTATTGAAATGAGACGTAGTTATTTGTGTGGGTGCATCTGAAATATGGAAGTGTTTTTTGACTGGTATAGAGCTGAAGAAAACAATTATGTTGTGTATATACAGTATATCGTTTTCTGTATTACTGCTGGCTTGAATACCCTGACCATACGTGCAGATTTGGGAGCCAATTGTAGATAAAACTTCATTTTCATCCTCTACTGTAGCTGCTCTCCATCTCATTGACCTACAGCAGCAGACTGTGAACAAAGTAGTCATTGGTTGCATGATGCTTTTTAAATCATCTGGGTTTTACTCACATTTCACATCAATAAAGATGGATTCAGATCTTCTACTCCACAGCAGATTCTCAGCTCTGCAGTAATACTGTCCAGAGTCAGAGGACAGGATGGAGCTGAGGACGAGACGTGGTCCTTCATTGACAGAAGAAAGGTCTTCACTTCCATCCTCCTTGTACCAGGTGTAGTTAGCTGCTGGTTAGCATCACTGCTACAGGTCAGAGTCACTGAACTGCCCTCCTCTATCTCAGCAGAGGGACTCACTGACACAGAGGGGAGCTTTGGACCATCTGGAGGAGATGTGTTTAAAGTTATTAACATTAAAGGGTAGATATAATGGCAACTTGCAAATGTCCAGAGGGACAAAGCAGGAAACGTTTTTCACAAACACAATGCAAAACATTTTAAAGCTTTGGAGCATCTGGAGGAGATAACATGAACACATTTCACATTTAATTCCACGTTGGAAGATATTTTAATGAATAATAGTTTAATAAAACACAGAGTGGGTGGTTAACTTGATTCCATCCTTTATCAGAAATCTAAAAACTTTGAGGGAAAGTGTTAATCTTTATGTCATGGAAGAAGTGACTAGAGAAAACCTAGAGCCCTGGTTCAGTGTCTTTGGACACTGCCATGTCTGCTGGCGACCTCTGGTGGGTAAATAGATACATGAGTGCAATGATGATATATGTTATACTGTATGTTAATGTTATTATGTTAGTGGAAGACTTTGAGTAAACTCACACACTGAAGGAGAGGGGAAGTCCTCATATCCCTTTAAAGCACAGGAATAACTGTCTGCTGAACCATATCTGAAGTTTGCATAAGAAGATGTGTCTTCCTTCACTTCCTGTCCATTCTTAGACCAGATGTAGGAAGTGTTACCAAGTGGACAACTGCTGAGACACTGAAGGAGAGTAGACGATCCTGATCTGCTCACATGCACCTGGAGATCTGAATAAAGGTACAAACATAAGCAAAAAATATCAATAATGTTCATGTATCAAAATAAAAATAAAATGTTAAATGTTTAAAGAGTACAATTTCAGATACCTGTGACGGACAAAGTGACTGGAGGACCCCAGTATGCATCTAGGTTTGTTGTGAACCTGAACCAGTACTCAGCTGAGTCGCTCTCTCTCAGGTTTCTGATTCTCAGAGTGCAGATGTTGTTTTCACAGCGATCCTCTACACGACCTGCATACTCTGAGTCTGTGGTCAGATCTACACGTTTACCATCTTTCTGTTCAGTGAACCAGAATGTTTTCTCTAATGTGTTTACACCACCATCCCATCTATATGGGTATGTGAAGCTGCATCTTATCTCCACTGTTGATTCTTTCACTGCACAGATCTCAGTAGAAGTGCAAGTCACTCCCCAGTCATCCTGACCCTGAACCACTGAAACACAGAGCACATCAGAAACTAGAATCAAAGTTAATCTATAAATTGTTGAGAAATTGCCTGATCAGTACTTTCAACAAAGAATGTAAAAATAAACATTTTACAAACTTTACTGGGATAGAGCAGAAAACATGTGAATTCCTTCTTAGGCACTTTAAAACCAATGATACTCTTTGACTTTGTTGTTTCTTAATCAAACCAGGTAGAACAGAAGTCTACGCAAAAAGGGTATGGTCAGTTTGACACAAGATTGGAAAATGCCTTCATATAAATGAACAGTGAATGATTAGCGATCATATTAATTAGAATAGTGTGTGATTCTCTGAACAGTTTCCTCTCTGTTCGCTCTGTGGTCAGGTTGCTGCTGAGGTAAGTGTGAGAAATAACAATAAATGCAGAACACTGAGGTGTGAGCAGCTTCTGTCTGATATACAGATAAGAAAAAGAAGAAGACTGTTTTAATTCAGAGTGTGAATATAACTCTGAGGTCAGAGAGGAGAGAAGGAACTAGAAGGGTTTGGTGCAGAGGTATGGCGACATTAGAGTTGAGTCAATATGTTATGACTTAGAATAAGAATATCTCTCAAAATCACTTAAACTTAATACAAACAGAGCTGTTGATTCTTTAAGTCGTCTTAAGAAAAAACAAAGCAAAATGTTTTCACAGAGAGAGAGAGGATGGAACAGTTATGCATAGAATATATTCTCATTTTAACGCTTGTAAAAGTGATAAGCAAACTGATATTGTATGCAGATGATTGGAGCAAAGGACAGTGGCAACGCATGACAAGATCTTCATAAAATCCATCAAAAAAACTAGTAACGTCTTTGAGTTTCTACAATTCTACACACAAATACATTTAAAATGTTTCTGCTTTGCCTTTTACCCAAATCCATCCCACTTATTCACACATGTGACCTGGTTTTACAAGTCCCACATTTCCCCAGAATCCCCTCTGTTCATGTACAGTACCTTTCCTGAGTCCTATTCATTTAGAATAAATGTAACTGCAAAACGTTTTTTTTTTAAAGATGGGCTTCATTATTAAGAAGCAGAGACATTCAAGTGTTTCATTTAAACAGAACCAGATGTGTTACAGGGTCCTGAACGTGTCCATTGTGACGTGCAGGTAATCGTTTGAATGCTCTGCACCTTCACTGTCCAATGGTAAAAAAAAAAAAAAAAAATCCGTTATTATTTATTCTTCACATTTGTGCAGACACAGATACTCGTATTATTGTGTAAACAATGAATACCGTCCACATTTCCATTCAGTGTTTTTGGTCTTTAAACGTCTCCCTCTCTCCGTTTCCGTTATCCAGATGCTTTGAGTCACGGATCACATGACACCTTGTGCTGCATTCAATGTCACCAAATAAAGTTCGAAAAACAACCGTTAGCCCAAAAAACGAATTGACTGCAACCAGATGCTTACTTCCAAATACCCGTACTGTATGTGCTGCAACACACGAGCTTCTTACAGTGAAACAGAATAAACTAACCCTAACCCTAACCCTTAACATTTTGAAATTAGATTTTTAAAGATAGAAAAATCACTAAAATACAAATCGTGCAAATAGTAAATTAATGAAAAGTGGTGATCAAATATTAAAAGAACAAATATGTTTATATTTTCCAATTTTCATGTTTTAGCTTCTCTCAAAAAAGCTAATTGACATTTACTAAAGTACTGTACTTCAGTACACAACTGTGTTATCATTGTATACTACTTCTACATTTTGGAAGCAAATGTTGTGCTTTTAACTCCACTACATTTATTTATATGTTACTTTACTCGTTCAGATTCTGACACACAATACTTGGGAAAAGCTTTCAAATATGATTATTTGGCATAGATTCAACCATCCAACACTATCTTTAGGTAACCCAAACCAGAGGTGGGAAGTACATTCACTCAAGTACTGTACATAACTACTATTTTGATGTACTTGTTTATTTTGATGATAATACTTTTCTACTTTTACTTGAGTAACATTTGTAATGCAGGACTTTTACTTGTAACAAAGTATTCCTACTCTCTGGTACTTTTATTTTTACTTAAGTACAAGATCTGAGTACTTCTCCCACAATATGTTTACATTTTCCAATTTTCACCTGTTTTAGCTTCTCTCAAAAAAGCTAATTGACAGTTTTTTGGTTAAATTCACATTTATTTCTTGGTTGAATTGACAGTTTATATGACAAACATCTTCTCAGAGTTTGCTGCAAAAATTGAATAGAAAATCATATATAAATAGGAAATAAATAAATATATGTATTGATGCTCATTGGTTCCCAGTGTTGAGGAATTAAATTTTTAAAGTTTAAAGTTTGTATTTATTACATACACAACAATGTGAAACAGCATTGTAAATAGTGGGTCTCAGGCCACCCTCCATCAATGCTCATTCAATATATATTTAAAAAAGATAAATAAAATGTTATTAGAATTTGTGATAGACTCTAATGGAAAAAAAGTGGGCTAGCTCTGAATGTAAAAAGGGATGTAATAAGCTTCAAATGTTAAATTATTGTACAACAAAAAATTAGTTTTTAGTGTCATGCAGCCCTGATACCACGTCACGGTCTCTTTCCCCTCCACATTTCCTCCGGTCCCTGAAGGCATCACGCTCCCTGGTTTATTAGAGCCGCTCAAACAGAGGATCAGATCACAGATCAGTCAGTCTGAGCTGATGGAGGCAGACTGTCCCTCTGAAGAGCAGAAGAGAGGAAACATGTGATGAGTTCCCGCACAGATGGACGATTACAACTCAAACTGAGAGGGAAGACACGACTGGACTTATTTCCTGCAGAGACACAAACTCTGAGGACTGGAAACTCTTTGCGTTAAAACAACTTCTGGAAAGTAGTTTTTTTGGGGAGGAAGAGTCGTGTTGAAAGTTTTGAGGATGTCCGAGCCAGAGAAGATTGAGGACATTCCAGATGAGTCTGTAGGAAAAGGAAAAGGAATTCCTAACGGAGGGAATGCTGCAAAAACCAAAGAGGTGAGCCAGAGTGCAAACAATCAGCTGATGCTCCTATGGACCAGGGTTTGTTACTCACAGAGGGAGAGAAGTACTCTGATCTTTAGGTAAAAGTAGAAGTACCAGAGTGTAGGAATACTCTGTTACAGGTAAAAGTCCTGCATTCAAAATGTTAGTCAAGTAAAAGTACAAAAGTATTAGCATCAAAATATACGTAGTAGTACTCATTGTGCAGATTGGTCCATTTCAGAATAATATATATGATATGTTTTTATAATGATTGATCATTAAAGTGTTCTCAAAGCTGGTAAAAGTGCAACTAGTTGTAATGACTTTGTATACTGCAGGGTAGCTTATGAATTTACTCCAGGTGTAACTAAAGTCTGATTTAAGACTTGATTATATTTCACATCATTAATCCACATCTGTAAAGTAACTGAAGGTATTAAATATATGAAGTGGAGTAAAAGTACACAGTTTACCTCTGAATTGTTGTTGGGTAGCAGTACGAAGTAGCAAACAAGTCCCTCAAAATAGTACTTAAGTACAGTACTTGATTAAATCTACTTACTTTACACCACTGGTTACACATGTCTGTTTATTTCACATGACAGCAGTTAACTGGTGGACTTTTGCCTCATAAAGCAGAAGAAGACACTTCCAGCTCTCAGTAAAAATGTGTTATAAAGTCACCACTGCAATAAAACCACTCTAAACTCAGTCAGGTCTCAGCTGCTCTGCAGAGGTGGAAAGTAACTAAACATTTACTAAAGTACTGTACTTCAGTACACAACTGTGTTATCATTGTATACTACTTCTACATTTTGGAAGCAAATGTTGTGCTTTTAACTCCACTACATTTATTTATATGTTACTTTACTCGTTCAGATTCTGACACACAATACTTGGGAAAAGCTTTCAAATATGATTCTTTGGCATAGATTCAACCATCCAACACTATCTTATATGTAACCCAAACCAGAGGTGGGAAGTACATTCACTCAAGTACTGTACATAAGTACTATTTTGATGTACTTGTTTATTTTGATGATAATACTTTTCTACTTTTACTTGAGTAACATTTGTAATGCAGGACTTTTACTTGTAACAAAGTATTTCTACTCTCTGGTACTTTTACTTTTACTTAAGTACAAGATCTGAGTACTTCTCCCACATATGAATAAAACCACGAGTGGGTTAACCGAAAATTAATTGATTGTAATTCTCCTGAGACATTCTTTGTTAAAAAATACCAGATTCTTAAATGTGAAGATTTGCTGCTTTTGTTTTAAAATATTTAAAAAAGAGTACTTCTACTAATACTTTAAGTACATTTTCCTAATTTGACTTAAATGCTACTTAAGTACCGTTCTCGGTGCTGTACTTTTACTTGAAATTGAGTATTTATACAGTGTGGTATTAGTACTTTTTTCCCTCTCTGATATGACAGATTGTGTTTCCTGTTTTATTTTTGCTGCTTTAAGTCACTTTGGGGACTGAAGACGGACACCTGGCATTTCTTTTAACAGTTGTAAAGAGTCTGGAGGAGTTATTGTAACACGTGTGAATGATTAAGATCAGTTTTCACCCTTTTTAAATTCCTTACAGTGTTAAAATCACAAAGTCAGACAAGATCACACGCTCAGAGGCCCCTTTATTACAGGAACACCTTTACAGTCTCTGCAACACCCCATTATTTCACTTGTCAATGAATCTGTAGGGTTTTATTCGATGTATCAGTGGACTATGAAAAGTACAAGGTGAAAGAACTTGGGGTATTTACTTTAGTAGTTACTAACTCTTAATTGGTGTGCTTCTTTTAATTCATTTTGATGTCTTTCTTTTTCTTGTGCTATATGGTCCCCACCCATGAGATGCACCCCTCTACATTACATCTCTGAATGTAATAAGTCTATGTTTTTCAGGATTTCGACCTGGCTGCTATCTATGTGTCTGACGCTCAATACAACAGGAACATTTACTTTGACACGTCGCCTGAAGCTGTGAGGTGAGATATTCTTATTTATAATCAGTTTTATCTCCCGCTAATTTTAATCAACATTATAGTGAATTAAAATCTCAGAAGCAGGGATACTCATTTCATTTAATTTCAAACCTTTATTTATCCAGGTGTAGGGGGGGCCTGCTCAAGTAGGTTCCACATGAAACATAAAAACATAAACAGAACAACAAAAAGGACATCATACAGCATCATTACAGGGATTACAATTGACATACTATCCACATGAACAGGTACCAACAGCTTCCGATTGAGTAGCATCCAACCGAGCTTTAAAAACATTTAGTGGCACCAGATTGCTCAGTTTCCATTTTAATTGCAGACTATTCCAAGTTAGTGGAGCTGCACATCTAAATGCTATCTTCCCTAAAACAGTCCTCGCAGTTGGCACATTTAATAAAACCACAGCATGCGATCTCAGGCAGTAGCCACTTACAATTCGCCGTGAGATCAGGGAGCAGATGTAGGATGGAAGTTTCCCTAACATGGCTTTGTATATAAAAATGTACCAGTGACTGAGCCTCCGTACAGTTAGCGAAGGCAAACCAGCCCTTGCATACAGGGTACAGTGATGAGTTAATACTTTACTGTTTGTCACAAAACTGAACTCCACACGTGCAAGCCTGGTGATATTTGATATTCTTCCTTATGTCCACACTAAAAGAAAGCATGAATGAATCCACTGTAAGTATCCTTTGTTTAATACAGCCTTGTATGTATTCTTAGTATGTGCCATAGCGCTCCATTACTGTCCAAAAAACGATTAAAACACATCAATTAAACACATTTTTGCATTGGGTGACATGAACTGTGTAGTTTATGTTGACCAAATGTAGATTCATCCGCTGCAGAAAGTAGTTCCTTTTCAAATATTCAACTTCCACCAGTTTTTGTTTGATAACAAACTACAGTGAGAAGATGTTTTAGGGAATTACAGAGCCCTTTTTAAAAGCAACTATGTTATGTTTTTAAAGATTAGCATCTACTAATGATTTATTTGTATTATTGATCAATCTTCTGATTATTATCTATTTAACAATTTGGTCTAAAACATGTCAGAAAAAAGTGAATATGACCAACCTAAAAGAAAAGAAACTTCCATATTTGAGATCCTGAAAAACGTTTTTCTTGCAATATCCACAATGTTTCTGTCAATCAACTAATCTTTGCAAACCTTATTTTCAGCAATGCACTGATATGTTGATGGTTTAAGTCAAAACAATAATGAATGTATTAGAAATAGAGATTAACAGCCATGTTATGCTTAAATAATAAATCTGTTTCTTCAGCAGAACGTCGTCTTTTAGCTTCAACATGTCAGCTAGTTTTAAAAGCTGTGTGTGTGTTTCAGATTGTATCTGCGCTACAACCACTGGGTCTCTCAGGTGCTCCTCTACTTCTTCATACTGCTCGATCTGTCTCTGGCCATCTTCGAGGACCCGGCTGTTTTCTCTCTGCCGATATGGGTGAGACGGTTTCTGCTGACTGACACCAAAACGCTTTCCTGCTTTCACACTTCCTCTTTTTAATGTGCACATCACTGCAATAAGAACATGCATTCGTCCGTCAGGTAGAAGAAGCTTTGTCTGCAGCTTTTGTAACAAATCTGTACAAAAGTCAAAACATACTTTTAGGATTTAGGATTTAGGAGGTGTGTGGCGTAGTGGATTAGTGCGTTGGTGTTCGGATCAGGGGGTCACAGGTTCAAACCCCACTGCAGTCAGCATGTCGTTGTGTCAAGAAGTGACATGTAATGTAATTTACAGTATATTCTGATTTCTTGTCAAATATATTAATCATATTATAAATCAAGAGCCAATTAACAAGCCTCTCATTTGGTCATCACTGTCAAGGCTTTATTGTTTAATTCAAACGATTCATACGTATCAAAAGTCAGCAGGTGCAACACAATCAGCCTCAAAGGAAACCAGTCAAACAAACACCAGAGCGCAGTGTGTGTTACATTCAGATGTTTCATCAGTGTGTGTGTGTCTGTGTTCTCAGGCCACTATGCTGGTGGAGCTGCTCTGTCTGCTCGTCTTCACCATTCGGATCGTTCACTACGCCAAAGTGATCCCTCGAGACAAGTTCTGGAAAGACCCCAAAAACATCTGCATCATCGTCATCATCGTGGTAAGAGGCGCTGATAGAGAGGTGCAGGAATGAGTCCTAAAACCAAGAAATTAGTTAGAAATTGAACACTTCTAGTTCCTTTGTCTTGAAGTCAATGTTTTTTTTAACATTTGTTTCGTCTGAAATAAGGTCTGTGGTTAAGACAAGGTTTTCACGTTGTGTTTGACGACATCAAATACGTCAGTAAATAAATACCCCACTGGTGAATGTCTGAATCTTGTATGTGTTATTAAAACAGCGGTTGCTAAAACTTTGCTAAGTAAAGCCTCTAAACATCATGACGGACATTAGCCGCCTTTAGCTTAGCGATGGTGACATGAAGTCATGTGACCGTGCTGTAGTTCCTTTACAGCCTATTGTTAGTTTTTTACTTCTGGCCATTGCATTTACGCTCCAAAATTAGTGTCAATATGTGGAGATTATCCTGCTGAACAAAACATGTAAGCATCATAAACGCGTGTTAGCCAAATATATTATTTTCTGCAATTTTCTATCGAGGGGCGACTGAACCGGGAGGAGTAAACTGATCTCCGTAAATCTGTAAATATAATATTCTGTTTGTCAATTGCCCTTTCTGTTATGCAGCACTCAAGGCATTGCACAACAACAAAAACGCATTTACACAACAGATCAAACCACATTTAAAACTAAACAAAAACCAGAAGTTCAAATTTATGTCATATACAGAAGACATCTAGCCACTTTAAAACTATAGATAATAAACACCTGGATATCCCTGTTAAGATCAATAACAACAATAAGTTATTTTAAGTAAACTTGTGCTACTTGTTTAAAGTGCTTACTGTTCAGAAGTCTGACCCAAGGCTGCAAAAGGTTTCACATTTCTTGATTAGTTGTTAACTATTAAATTAATAATCAACTGCTTTGATTGAAGATTAAACAGTCGAGTCGTTGTTTAAGAAAATACTCTTACATTTTCTGGTTTAAGCTTTTTAAATATGAATATTTTCTGGTGTCTTTTCTTCTCTGTCCCAGTAAGCTAAATATATATATATTTAGAGTTGTGGGTGACACAAGACATTTAAAAAACATGGTATGTCGAAAACAAGACAAAACAACTATTGATTGGTCAGCGATTAAAACACTTGTTAGTTGCAGCCTTAATGTGAACGACCTAAATGAGAGAATCTGTAGATAATCCCAGTGAAACATGTGTTGTGCTACAGATGAGTTAAATCCTGGTGACGGTTGTTGAGTTTGAACGGACACTTCCTGGTTTTTGCTGCGATCAGAGTTCCTGTGATCTGCAGAGTCAGGATTTGCTGAGAAGACTTTCTGTCTGTTGTTGTGAAACAACCTTTAGCCGGAGAAGTCGCCTCGTCAGCGCCTTTTTAAAGCAGAAAGGCTTCCTGGTGACTCAAAGAGACACACATAATATTGCAATACTTTTTTTTTAAAGTGTTTTAATGACTGAAGATTGGAAACATTTAAAACACGGAGATGAGATTAGAACTGATTCCACCTGAGGAAATATGAGAGACTGAAATGGGCTGTTATATTTTAATGTATATATTGTGTGCTATATATTGATATAACAATGCATCTCTAAACTGAACATTAATGAAACTGTGTGTGTTGAACCTCTGTGTGTGTTGGACCTCTGTGTGTGTTGGACCTCTGTGTGTGTTGAACCTCTGTGTGTGTTGGACCTCTGTGTGTGTTGGACCTCTGTGTGTGTTGAACCTCTGTGTGTGTTGGACCTCTGTGTGTGTTGGACCTCTGTGTGTGTTGAACCTCTGTGTGTTGAACCTCTGTGTGTGTTGGACCTCTGTGTGTGTTGGACCTCTGTGTGTGTTGGACCTCTGTGTGTGTTGAACCTCTGTGTGTGTTGGACCTCTGTGTGTGTTGAACCTCTGTGTGTGTTGAACCTCTGTGTGTGTTGAACCTCTGTGTGTGTTGAACCTCTGTGTGTGTTGGACCTCTGTGTGTGTTGAACCTCTGTGTGTTGAACCTCTGTGTGTGCTGAACCTCTCTTTGTGTGCAGCTGACTCTGGTGGATATGATCATCTACGGAGCGCTGAAAGCTACAAACTATTACGGGGTCCGCTGGTCCAGAGTCCTGAGGCCGCTGCTGCTGGTCAACGTCACCGAGGGGCGACAGGTAACCCTCTCACCTGTCTCACCTGTCTCACCTGTCTCACCTGTCTCACCCGTCTCACCCGTCTCACCCCTCACAGCTCTCTCACCTCTCTCACCCCTCACAGCTCTCTCTCAGGTCTCTTACCTGTCTCACCTCTCACAGGTCTCTCACCTGTCTCACCTCTCTCACCTGTCTCACACCTCACAGCTCTCTCTCACCCCTCTCACCTCTCACCCCTCACAGCTCTCTCACCTCTCACACCTGTCTCACCCCTCACAGCTCTCTCACCCGTCTCACCTCTCTCACTTGTCTCATCTGTCTCACACCTCTGAACCCACAGACAGCAGTCACACTTTCATTTGGAGCAATGTCAGAAAAGGACACACACTTCTTTCTATTCTTGTGATGTTGTGGTTCTGTGTCTCCTTCCATTACAAATGAATCGTCAATTAAGTAAATTAATAATAATAGTAAAACTTTGTCTTGTATTAGAATAATGCTTTGACTGACTGAATAATGCAATCTGGTATTTTATCCAGTTTTTGTTCAATTCAGATACACTTTATTGTTAGGACCTATCAGAGACTCATATTGTCAAAGCACTACAGGAAATCAACAGTGAAGATACAAAAATATGCCAATTTTAACACTAATTTACCCTTTGTCTTATCAAATATAATGCTTTAGGCCTTAAAGGTAGGGTAGGTAAGTTTGAGAAACCGGCTCGAGATCGCTAGAATTTGAAAATACACAACCGGAGAAAATCTGCCACTTCCTTATAGAGCCCCTCCTCCAACACACACGAACGCGCACATGACCAATGAGGGCACGAGATAAGTTTGTGCACAGATGGAAGGCTGACAGGCAGGTAGGCCATCCAGTTATTTTAGCCGGTCCGGCTAAAATGATTGGTCGTGCTTTTTACAGTACTACGGCTTCCACAGATGACATTTTTTTATGGATTTTTTGTCAAAGCACTTAAGATATTCATTGCTATCGGGATGTTAAGAGCATTCCATGGAATATAACAAAAAGTGTATCTCGAGCCGGTTTCTCAAACTTACCTACCCCACCTTTAAATATAAATAACATAGGAAGCTTTGATACTTTTACAGATGTAATCTTTCAGAAACACGGTTTTAAGAGACAAACATCATATATAGTCATCATATTTTGCGATTATATAGCATACTGGTTTTTCTACTCACTTTCTGATAATCAGGGAGATGTTTAAAATCTTTATAAAGAAAAATGTCTCACCAGTTATAAATCCAACCTGACAGAAGACATAACAGTTTTCCTCTAAATAAACAAAAAAAGGGACATTTACTCTTCCATATTTTCTCCTCATGTTCATGCCGGCAGGTGTCTCTCAGGTAAACCGTCACATGTTGTTGTTTTTATTTGTTATCTCAGGATCTTGAATGTCCAGTTTAAACTTCCTGCTGCTAAACGTGGACATGTTTGCCTCTGAGCTGACGGCGCCTGAAGGCATCATTAGTTTGTTTTCCTCTGAGTGGACGCAGCGTTCGTGTCCTCCTTCATAAACTCTGTTTGTTTGTTTGTTTGTTTGTTTGTTTGTTTGTTTGTGTTCAGCTCCGCAGGGCGTTCAGAAGCATCCGGAACGCTCTGCCTCAGATCTTCTACGTCTTCCTGCTCTTCATGTTCAGCCTCCTCATCTTCTCCCTCATGGCGCTCAAACTGCTCGGCAAACGGTGAGAAGACTTTCTTTATCTCGTTTTAAAATCTTAGACGGATAAACAGATTTTAAAGAGCTCTGAACGCTGGAGAGGAAACACGAGTCACATGGGCTCCAAATTAAAAGTTTAGAGATGTATTTAAACGTCAATAAAAGCCACTTTGATTGTACGTCTAAGAAACCAAAACTTCTACAAAATGTCAACATTTGAATGAACTGAGATTTGTTTTAGGTATTAAAAGCAATGAGTAAAAGGGTTGTTGGTATTCTGTGCATTAATGTGTTATTTTAACTAATCGTTTGCATAACATTTTAAAGAAATACCGAAAAAAGTCTTCCATCTCCAAGGTGCCATCTTCAAATTGGATATGTCTGCCCAAAAATGTAAAGAGAATCAGTAACGGAAAATGAAAACAAAATAAAATCTGGAATCAGTGAATGTGTCGACAAAAGAAAAGATCTACTATTTAAATTATTGCTCTCTTTAAATGTACATCAATACAAATATACATATACAGTAAATGTATGCTGTTTATCTGACCCAACCTGTTTATATTGGTTGGCATTAAGTATATTTTGTATAGGCACCTATACATGCATTTTATTTGTGCACTCCTTTCTTACAAAATGTGCAGTATTTACATTTGTTTTTGCCACTGGCATTTAAAACAACCCACTCAAGACTGAACAAGGCACGACAATCATGCTCTTTAAATATTGAAAGGGACTAGTTGGCAGTATTTACTTAGGATGGAAATGCTGATTTTATTGTTTTTTAACAAGGATGCAATCAATCAACATCCAAACAGTGCCTAGAAATCGTCAGTAATAAGTAAATAAATGAACATTAGTGATGGCGTTATGGAATCAGTCTGAAGTTCTTTTATTGTTTATTTTCTGCAGAGGTCTGACTACCATCGATGGATCTTCGTACTTCACAAACTACCTCGAGATCATCTTCGATCTGTACGTCCTCGTCACCACGGCCAACAGCCCCGACATCATGTAAGACTTCTTCACTACTTCTAGCACCAACATGTGTTTAATATTCATCTATTTACCTTAAAATGCCTTGAAATCAGGAAAATCTGTGAAGTATTTTAAGATGTAAAATATGTAATTGTGTGCCTCCTGTTATAAAGAAGGAAGTTGATGCGACATTTGAAAATGATATTAATTATGTAAAGAAATGAAACAACATATTTTCTTATTTTAATTAAAATGTTTTTATTAAATTATTAAGTATTTTGCATTGGACTAAACTGCATTAACCACCTTCAGAGTGTGATTAAGCATTACTGCAGCCATCTTTATTTAAAGTGGACCTATCATGCTATATTTTAATAATATATTGTAGGGCCATACCTGTATAAGGTATATTTATACGTTTTCTTTTTCAAAATACCAAACAGATCATGCATTTTAGCCATGCCTCATTTCGCCTCAAGACGTACAAAAGTGCATTTTGCATGATAGGTCCCCTAAAAAAAAGCGAGTTGAATATTTTCTTTGAGGATGAATTATGAAGACGTTTGCGTTTTTGTTAATTACACAATGTCATGCTACCGTCAAAACATCCATGTTTTGAGAAGAAGGAAGTTACTTTTTCAGAAACATTTATCTGTCCATATGCACTTTTTATTTTCTCTTCTTGTTTGCAGGATGCCGGCATACAACGCCAGCTATTACTTCGCCATCTTCTTCATCCTGTACATCCTCATCAACAACTACATCTTCATGTCCGTGTTCTTGGCCGTCGTCTACAACAACTACAAATACCACCTGAAGGTATCACGACCTCTCAGAGGATCTCTATACAGTTTGAAACATGCTATGTGTGGGGGAAACTTCTGTTGCAATTGGAAACAGGACTCAGAGAGACACGAGGAGAGCTGTAGCTTTGATGGCAAACACTGACGGTTTATTTGGAGTTACGGCCGGAGAACTGACAAGACATGTGGTGTGTCACGAGTTGACTCAGCGGTTGCCAAACCAATTCTGAAGAACTTTTCTGCAGCTCGAGGTTTTAACTAGTTCGGAGTTTAATTATCAACATTCTTCATCAGTGAGACTAAACAAATATGGACCCTGAATCTAACTAGAGCTGTCGTCCATAGAAAAGAATGTGCGCCAGGGAACCTACGTCCCTGAACAGTAAACTATCTCATGGCGGCTTGTGCTCGGTCATAGACTGGCAACAACAATGCGCCCAAGCTGCCCCTCCTTAAGAGAGATAGCAGCAATACCCAAGGCCGTAGAACTATGCCATGGGAAAAGAGACAGTGAAAGGAGAAAACGATGAACTGTGTCGAAGGTTGAATACCTAAGCAAATGATTCCCTAACACTATGTATATATTATACTTTATTGAAATGTTAAAACTACTGTAGACAACTCTACTTTTTTTGTAATTTGTGGACAAATAAGACAAACATCTACACAAAGTAACATATCTACATTTCACATTTAACTTTGACACTCTAAAATAGCAGTTCCCAACCTTTTTCAACTCAGGGCTCACTTAAGAATCTAAAAAATGTTCGCGGCCTATATGCAACCATAAACAATATGGAGGCTAAATAAAGTTTTGATCAGACCGCTGTCAAGGACTGTAATGACCGTTGCTAAGGAGGACCGAGAACGAGAAAGGAAAAGAGGTTCAAATTAAATTAAATCTTAATTATGAAATGTTTCCACACAAATCATAATGTTTTACAAATTATTTGGCGGCCCACTTGCAATGCCGCGGCCCACAGGTTGAGAATCGCTGCTCTAAAACATCTCTCTGTATTTCTCAAGCTTTCTCCTGTTCTACCTCTCGCTCCACCAGGAAGAGGTACGGCAGCTGGTGAGGGCCAAAAGGCACAAGATGGTGCGAGCGTTCGCCGTGCTGCAGGACCAGAGGGAGGGGAGGGAGCCGGTGGTGAACCAGGCCAACTGGAACCAGTTGGTCCGACTGGTGCAGCCCGACGTCAGCAACGCTCACCGGGAGCTGCTGTGGAGCGTCTGTGACAACAACAACCAGGGATACATCGGTGGGACACACACACACACTCACACACTCACACACTCACACACTCACACACACACACACACACACACACACACACACACACACACACACACACACACACACACACACACACACACACACACACACACACACACACACACACACCAGACTCTCACTTGACTACACCCAATCGTTTTTAGTCTGTGAAAGAGACACATTTTTTGTTGTTGAGGAGATTCTTTTAAGATCAGAGTTTATTAAACTGACCTTCTAAGATAAAGAGTGAGGTAATACAGTAAATTCATTATAGGAAGAACAAGAAACACGTCTCATCAAACCTAAATTATTACTGAAAATTGTCTATTTGAAGTCCAACTATATTACATTTTCTTTTTCCATGAGGATAAAAGAGAAACAGGATCAAACAAAGATTGAATTCACCAGTTAACTTGGAATTGGTCTAAGAGTTTTCTGTGTTTGAGGTCTGCATCTAAACTGTAACTGAACGCAGCCGTGAGGCCCTTGCCGAGCTCTTTAAAATCTCCTCTCTTGGTAAATTAACTTTGGTCAAATGCAATGCGCAATGCTCCATTGCACTGTCACACCATAGACTGTTTATACGGTCACAACCAGCCACCCATCTTCACCTTCTGCAGAGTGACTATCTGCACCCTCATCGTGGAGGAAGTCAAATCTGCTTCATCATCCGCTTCAGCTTTAATCTGAGAACAAACTGAGTAGGAGAGCCGATATCACATCTAGCCAGACGGACAAAGCATTGTTTGTTTCACTTTATTTCCTTAACACAGGATATGCACACTGTATTGTTTATTCACACTCTTTTTCCATCCACGGGGGGGGGGGGGGTGAGAAGGTTATTTTAAAGTACAGCTCATGATCAAAAGATGCTGGTAATATGAGAGTCAAATGTCATCAACAACTACTGCTACTTTGTACTTATTAACTATATTATTGGATGGATGAATGGATGAGCTAGCTAGCTAGTTAGATAGATAGATAGATAGATAGATAGATAGATAGATAGATAGATAGATAGATAGGTAGATAGATAGATAGATAGATAGATAGATAGATAGATAGATAGATAGATAGATAGATAGATAGATAGATAGATAGATAGATAGATAGATAGCTAGATAGTTAGCTAGTTAGATAGTTAGCTAGTTAGATAGTTAGCTAGTTAGATGGATAGATAGATAGATAGATAGATAGATAGATAGATAGATAGTGAACATTAGCTAGCTTGAGGAGATAGCTAACATTGGCCAGCTAGCTTGTTAAGAATATGTCTAATGTTTGCTAGGTAGTTTAATTGATACAGTAGATACAAATTGTTGGCTAGCCAGTTTTAAAAAGAGAGATGACATTCTCTAGTTAGCTTGTTAGCATGTTAGATAGATGGAAGAAGTCCTTTGTTGATCAGGCAACCCAGTCTCACGGAATTTCGTGTTATAGTCACGAAATTAATTTAATCTATTGATTCGTGTTCACCAACACGATTTTCACCTTTTTTTCGTGTCACACAGAACGATTTTAAAAGCAATGTATTTCTATTGGTAGTATGTTTCGTGCCTGCACCACGTCTTTTTGTCCGGTCCGGTCTTGGAAGACCAGAAGCTGTGTGGTTCATAAACACATTTTCTTACTCAATATCTTACCCTAAGCCTAACCATTTTATTTTACATTTTATAATGTCAGAGTTTTTTTGCCGTCCGCGAGGAAAATAAATGGCTCAGAGCCTCAGAATACTGAAATCTGTATTTTTTTTCCTTCTAATTTGTTATTATTTGGTGCAGGCATGAAACATACTACCAATAGAAATACATTGCTTCTAAAATTGTTCTGTGTCAGAATACTGAAATCTGTATTTTTTTTTAATCTCTTTTTCCTTCTAATTTGTTATTATTTACATTGCTTTTAAAACCGTTCTGTGTGACACGACAAAAATGCGAAAATCGTGTTGGTGAACACGAATCAATAGATTAATTTCGTGACTATAACACGAAATGCCGTGAAACTGGGTTGGATCAGGAGATTTAAAGAGGATGTGAGGTGTTGCCCATGATGCACATCCAGGATAGTTTTGGCAGCTTCCTCTTCTACTCAAGATCAATCTCCAGGGTCCCAAGAACAGGAAATCGTAAGAAATAGGAAACCTCCTGTTGTACACATTAAAGGATCTGCATTTCCACAGGAAGTAGAGTCCGCTCTGTCCTTTCCTGTAAACAGCTAATTCGAGAGGCCCTTGCATCACATGCTCCTCTCCTGAAGTCACTAAAGTTACAGCTCAGCAAAGGAGGACGTCAATAATGTTTAGATCGTCGCGATGTCACAAGCACAAGCCTCTCGTTCATGGATAGATGCATACTTCATTCTGTGCGGTGATAATGTAGATAACAAAAGTTTCTTCATGAAACTCAACAAGGTCTGTGGATTAACTGGAGTAACCAGGTCATGATTTCTTAAAAGAGACATTGCTGTTACATTTTTTAAATGTATTTTTGGCTTCTTTGAGCATCACAAGTTGAGTGCCATGTAGTTTTCATTATATTCCAAAAAAGCTGACATTTGTACTGTCGACATCTTCAACACTCTGCAACTCAAATCTAGATTGATAAATAGCACTTCAGATAAGAGGAAATATATGTTTTGGGGATTTTAGGGTTAACTTTCCCTGTAATGATGCTTTGGTTTTATTTCTGTTGTTTGATTGACAGGTAAGGTGGCGTTCGTGCAGCTGGCCGACCTCCTGAACATCGAGGTGATCACGCTGAAGTCCAGACCTCACCCGCTCCAGAGTCTGTGTCCCAGCCTCTACCAGTCGGCCCCCAGCCGCCTGCTCTGCAAACTGGTGCAACACCGGTGAGACAGAGAGACGTCTTTTATGTGTTTGATATTCATTGTGTACAACTGGGTATTTATAAAGTTGTATAGATGTATGAACAGTGGTGTAGTGGCTGTTGGACGCGGGGGGTCGCCGTACCCCCACTTATTTGGAGCCCCCACTTTTTTGAAGCATGATTTTTTTTTTTTAATAGTCTAATAAATATAAAATCATTGCCAGTGTTATCAGTTGCAAGTGTGTATTTGTTGTAATAATGACAAAAACATAACCTACATTTCACAGTAATTATAATAAAAACGTAGCTCAAGCATTTATGCAACTTGATTTGAAGCCTGTGTGTGTGTGAGGGGCAGCACCGTGTGTGTGTGTAGGGTGACCAAGTGTACAGCATTTTTATCATTTGTTTCGCGTCCCACAAATTGAGACTATGTCCCGCTTTTGTCGCACGAGTCGCGCAGAAAGGCCGGCTCGGTTCGCAGACGGCCGGCACCGCCCTTTATTATTATATTTTTTAAACGGCATCATGTAAGTTGCGCTGACAGGCGACATAGGTCCACAGAGGTCCAGAGTGTACCCCCCCCCCCCCCCCCCCCCTGTTGACAGTTCACGAGCGCATCCATAGTGTCTCCCCTCCCGTCCACCCAGTAAAAAAATTCCCACTACACCACTGTGTATGAATGTCCATCTCCAGTGACAGACATCAAACTAGCTGCAGTTTGTCAATCTCCATACACACACAAGCAAAAGACAATTGCTAACCAACTTAAAGCAACAATAAAGTAGGTTTTTATAAATAATAAAAAAAAGAAATATTGGTTAATAATTAAATGTACAATTAAGGTAGCGGGAGTTTATACAGAAAATACAAAACAATTAGTTAAACAGAAAAGTTTTTCTTGTGTCATTAGATTGTTTTGACTTTCTGGTGAGTTGATTGAACCTTTATTAAGTCAAAATATACTTTTTAAAATGTAGGATAAGATATACTTTATTTATCCCAAATTGGGAAAGGTTTTCGTTGCAGCAGCATGTTAAACAAAGTATTGCACATAAATAGATGTCAAAAAAGTAGAAAATAAACAATTATATAATATAAACATCTCAAAATTGAAGATAAAACCGAACAAAAAAAGTTAAAATATAAAAGTTGACCGTAAAGATAAAAATCTGTAAACTATCTGACGATTAAAACACTATTGAATGGCCAAATGACAGCTTACACAATATAAAAGTAGGATATTATTTACAGTTAGTGTGCAAGAATGCGCATATTAAATTAAATATGAATGTAAAATGTACAGTGTGTATTGTTATATTTTTCTGAAACTGTGATGTGATTCTCAGAGACTGAACAGAATCTTTTAGAAATACTTTCTTAATTGCTGTCAAAACTTTCTCAATTACTGTCAAAACCATCTCACTAGCTGACACACAACTCCTGTGTGTTTTCAGGGCCTTTGTGATCGTGTACGACCTGATCATCCTGGTGAACGCTGTGTTCATTGGTCTGGATGAGAAGAACCCGTTGATCGCTAACTCTGAGTGGGCCTTCCTGGCTCTCTACCTGCTGGAGATCCTGCTGAAGCTCTACGTGTTCGAGCCCCGAGCGTTCTTCTCCAAACACAGCTTCTGGAACTGGTGAGAAACAGCTTCACTGCCGCTGTCTGATACACACTTACACAAGGTTGGTTGGAAATGAGTGAAGGATTCTGGGTAATCTGGCAGGCAGTGGTGGTAGAAGTATGCAGATCCTTTACTGAAATAAAAGTATTAATACCAAAACTACACATAGTTATGTATAAAAGACAGGAGAAAGTGGATTTTGCATAATACTGTAGGTGACCTTTAACATGCATTAATTATTTCAAAACATGTTTCCTGTCAGTTTTATTATTATATATGATTTTATTTGGGATTAGAATTATTTATGCATTAGTGTTTACGTTGCATTTTACTGCTGTAGGTGCATAAGGATATTTTAATTTGACATTCAAATTATGAGTAACCAAATTTGGAGATGCATGGTTTTCACTTGACAGGAAGGATAGGATAATAATACATTTCAATTTTATTACGCCGTCAGACAATGTAGTGAACACTACAACACTACCCTCAAGGATGTAGTTAAAAAAATATAGCATTAAATGGAAAAACTCAAATAAAGTACAATAACCTTAACTTTTACAAAAGTGTATTGACTTGATCTTGGGTCAACTTGAAGAAAATGTGAATCATTTACTAGAAAATACCAATAATATAAACTTCATAATGTTTAATTGTGTTTGACAAGTGCTTTTCAGGTTCTCTTCCAATGTAAGATACAAGTTTTTCTGATTAAACTTTATAATGAAATCATTCTCAAATCTAAAATCAACGAGCTGTGTTACGTCCATTTCACACAGCCTATCTGCGTCCCAGATAATAAGTACGAGGTATGTGACACGTGTTTAATATCTGCTGCTTCTTCAGCGCTTGGACCAGCTCAGTGATGCTTGAGGCGCCCATTCTACTTTTGAGTTATCATTTTTTATTTTAAATGCTGTTTTTGTTCCATTATGGAGTTAAAAGAGCTACATTATGGAGCTGGATTTTATGACCACAAAAGTCTGAAAGTAAAAACGATAAAAGCTTGTTTAAGAAAAAAGCCATTCCTTAGAATTGAAAAAACTGGGAGACCAGAAACAGAAATTGTGAGCAAAAAATTCAAAAACTCACTAAAGAGTAAACTGTGAGGTCTCGACTTGTTATGAGAAATTCCTTAAAGTTTTGTTTTCTCATTAAAAGTGTTTTTCTTTCAGACTTTTTAATCACAGTTCTTTATTAGGTACACTTATAAAATGCCTTACAATGTTAATGCAATGCAGCAGCTCCTTCATAATGTCTATTAATATTATTTAGTTTATACAAACTTTCTTACGTACAGTTTTTGTTGACATTGTTGGAAACGTCTCAATTGTGTAGTAATAATATCTTATTAATGACAATTTCTTTTTTAAACCTGTATATATTGTGATATTGATGTTAAATATTTTAGCACATGTTATCTTTTAGTGGGCATTTTACTCTAATTTATTATGTTTGTATACATTTCTTTATTTTATTGTAATCTTTTTATTGCACATTCTTACTTTAACATCTTAAAATCATTTTTTTGTTATTATTTTTTTTTAAATGGAGCAACTGTAACAAAATTAAATTCCTCCTAGGATAAATAAAATATAATTTTCAACAAAAGCTGAACATTGTAAGCTTCATAAATGTATTGCATCGCAGTGCAGTTGCACTATGGGCCCTGCAGGCTGAGACCGAAACGTTTTTTTGCTGCAGCTGTTGAGGTTCTCTTTGTTTTCAGCATGTTGCGCCCCCTGCTGGTGAGCAGAGCAGCTGCAGGGACTTCAGTCAGAGTGTTTGTTTGTTTCATGGATGTATTATAAGAACTGGATATCCAAATGAAAGATGGCCTCTACTCATTTAAATGAAAAGTGCTTGCCACTTTCAAAAGCCACAATAAGTTTTCTTTACGCCAAAGAATATTTTGGACTTTGGGAAAGTTTTACTGATGGACCTTAATGGGTTAAAAAAAAATCATAAAAATGTAGTGATAATTGTTTGCAGTTGGATATGTCCTGTAAACTGTGTTATACATCTCTTTTATAATGGAAGTTTATAAAGACAATTCTTTTGTGGGATTTATTTATTGCAATACTGCGAGTGACCATAGGGGCAAACTGACAGTTAGGCTCGGATCAGATCTATTAACGCATCCATGATATAAAGCTGTTCAACGTGTTGGCGGGGACAGACTGACATCTTATGAAAACAAACAAGAAGAAAAACCTTCAGCTTCTTTTACGCTAACGCCGGTTTTGCTTTCAGCATCATCGCTGTCGAAGAAAAGTATTTCCGCTCAACTTAAAAAGTTTGTTTTGTAATATTCGATTTGTGTTTTCAGGTTTGACACAATCATCGTCATCTCTGCTCTCATCGCCACAATCATCAATTCCTCCGTGACGTCAGGTAAGTTCGCTTTTTCTATATTTGAATCTATTAAGTAAAGACATGGGCGACTGTGGCTGTGAGGGAGTTGGTCGTCTTTCAACCAGAAGGTTGTTGGTTCGATCCCAGCCCGTGCAGTCAACATGTCGATGGGCAAGATACTTAATCCTGAGTTGTTCGCGATGAGTAGTGTGTGAATGTGTGTGAATGTTAGCTTCCCTAAAGCAAGTGGTACTACTCTACTACTACTTAAGCATGAATAAAGTGTGAATGGGTGAACTACTCGTAGCGCTTTGAGGGGTCGAAAATACCTGATAAAGAGCTATATAGGTAGGTACAGTCTATTTACCATTTACAGTTCTGCTTTGTTGAACTGGTAAATGTGAGAGCCAAAATCCCGAAGAAAATGATACGTGTATCCATCCTATGATTCGGATCCTCTCCTGTACTTCTGCTGTATGGGTTATCTTAACAAATGCTACACCCGTCCACCAAGTTGAAAAGGCTGTCTGGGACTATAAAAACATTTTGCCTTTCTGAATACTTGTTTGTGTCCTTTTGTAGCGGGCATTTACACCAGCCGTCAGATCCTGGACATCGTCTTCATCCTGCGAGTTCTCAGACTGATCCGAGTCGTGGACAGCATCAAAAGGTTTTAACTCCTCTTTGACTGACTCAAACCTAGTGGTAGTTCTAACTTATTGCTTGAGGTATTATATAATAATCTGCAAAAGTAAAGGATTAGACACCGTGGATAGACTCTGACTTACGTTTGGACACCAGGACACTCTTCTGTCTTTATTGGTCCATATTTCTACAGATTTGTGATTATTTCTGAATGTGTTTCTTTACTAACAACGACACCTTTCTTCCCGTTAGGTTTCGTACGATCATCAACACCCTGATCAGGATCGGACCAGCCATCCTCACGTTTGGACAGCTGATCCTTGTGAGTTACTGATAGCAGATTGCCAGTTGAATCATATTGTTAGGCTTCAAGTGTTTAGATATTCCCCTAAAATGTCTAATATTTGTCTATTTTTTTTAGTGGTGGTGTAATAAACAAATTGAGTCAGCTGCTTTATAAGGCCATTAGTGCCTTGTGCCTGGATTCTCTCTAATATCCAGCTGGGGGCGACTCCACTGGTAGCTTTAAGGAGTCTGTTTGTTTAGAAGTCTAGGAAAATATTACAGTACATCCTACTTGATTTATGACATCAGTTATCTTCTTTTTTTTTTTTACGAGTTAATGGTCTCTTTAGCTAGTTTCATGTATTCTTCCTTACAGCATGATGTAATTGTATAACATTTTGGTCCCATTAAGAGTAAAATGGATAAATACTGTGTAGAGTATGCTTCAGGATGGGGCTTCATTGGGTTTGACAGGTTGCTACCACACAGTGTGGTGTTTTCTGTGCTATCCCCCTACAACTTTAACCTTTTCACATCTGTTTTCAATTCATCAAAAAGGGATTTTTTTTTTACAATTTTACCCACAATATCTTGTTCATTTTTGCATTGTACTTCGCTCCACCCTCTATTGTGGTTCCAGCGCTGGAACAGGCTTTAATTTGTACTGGTCTTGCAATTTCATTCTCTAATAGTAGCCTCCTTCCACGCATCGTACTTACATCAGCTTGCTTTAAAAAAAAAAAAAAATACCCTAATGTGGGCAAATGCGTAGGTTGTGACAAAAAACGTGCTGCCGCTGACTGAAAGTCCTCCCCAGGTGGTGTACTACGTCTTTGCCATGGTGGGGATGGAGTTGTTCAAACACAAGGTGAAGTTTTACGAGGACTCCAGCGACCCGACGAAGGCGTACTGTGGAAACGTTCTGCTGAAAGGAACGGCCTTCGCTCAACTCAACTACTGCAAGAACAACTTCAACAACGTGGTGTCATCCTTCATCCTGCTGGTGGAGCTCACTGTGGTCAACCAGTGGCACGATATCCTTCCCCTGAACGCCTCAAACAGGAAGTTAAACTGTTGGTTGGGTTTTATTATAGATCCAGAACTGCCCTCTTTACTGGGTTTCATTTCAGGTAGTCTGTCACCATTTGCAGGTCCTATAACTTCATCTGAAAATGTTTGTTTACACTATGTATTCATCTCTAATGTAAAAGATAATATCAGGATAATTGAAATTCTAAACCAACTAACTCAAATTACATTTAAAGTAAATCAAAAGCAGCAACCTTGTCAAAAAAGCAAGAACATCACTGCTGTCGTGAAATTAGCCAAATGTTGAGCAAATTAAGCTAGATATGCTGTTAGCACTGAGCTAACATATCGTCTTAATATATACAAAAATAACTCGCAATAGTGTAAAAGCAAAGAAAGGCTAGATCATTGTAATCTTCTATGCATCTGAATGCCTGCAAAATATAATCAGATAAGATACATAATGGTGTTTTTGTTCTGATTGATTCGAATGTTAAACTCATTTATTCCTTAACATAACCTCACTGCTCAGCAGCGGATTCGCCGCCGTCACCCACGGGTCAGCCAAGCTCTTCTTCGTCTTCTTCCACATCATAGTCGTCATCGTCATCATCAAGTAAGAGTCGGGAAAAGAAGGAGGGGGGGGGGTGCATGAGACAAAATACACAATGTGGAGTGAAGGTATAGGTGCATGCAGGTGTCTTAAAATCAACAGGAAGTTTGTTATTGTTATTCTGCCTTAATCAGTCATGTCCAACACACAGACATAATAAACTAATTTAAATTCAGATAAATATACTATATCTGATTCCATTACCAAGAAATGTCCATTCATCATAGAACAATTATCCCCTTACCTGCATGCAATCAGACACAAAGGGGGTGTGGCTTAAGTAGAGGGGCAGGGCTAACACACACTTAAAAAAGAGGGGCTCTTTGTCAAGTGCAATGTTTGCTCCGACAAAAGTTTGGTTGAGTTTTGGTACATCGGTCAATTTAGAAGTTATGCACCTTTTAGTAATAGGCCACTCTCTGCAGGAAACCCTTTTTTTTTATTATTAATTCATTATCCCTCCTCAAATTAAAATGTTAGCCTCCTTGGGCATAAACTGTGCACATCAAAGGGAAGGGAAATGTTTTGTGGATTGGCCATTCAATTGACCGATAACAAAGTCACTCTTACAGCTGCAGATCCTCCCTGACAGCCACCATGATTTCTAGTTTTCATAATTATTCAATTAATCCCGGGATAGATATCTGTACATCCAGGGTCATGAGCTTTTTTCTGCAGTCTTTAAATCCTGGCAACATGTAAGACAAGAAAATATAGATCACATTTATAATTTGCTGTGGTCTTTCAGTATCTTCGTGGCGTTCGTCTTGGAGGCGTTCTTCGTGGAGTACTCGGTGGATAAGAGCGACCTGCAGACGTCTCTGGAGAAGAAGATCGAGGAGCTGGAGCTGGCTGTGGCACAGTACGTTACCCATTTCAATGCAAAAACAAACTCCTCTAGATGTACGGCTGAATATCTCCAATATTTATTCTCATTCTAGCCATATTACTTTGTGCTGTTAAATGTAGTGGGCCGGGCTTTGAGGCTTTGAGGATTTGCATTATCCAACATTGGTAGACGCAGAATGTCTTAATGAGGGAGAGAGCAGAGTTATTGGATCATACCTTTGGATTTCAATTCTGAACTTAACACCTACTTTACATCAATGCTGAGTATTTTCAAGTTATCTTCTTTCTTTTTGTAAGTCTCTGCTTGCTCTACTGTATAAGAGCTCTAAAACCCTGAGGAAATATGTATACTATGATAGAACCTAAACAGGATGAACTGGATAAATATATATATAGATGAATATATAAAACAGGATTGTCCTTTAAATCAAAATATATGTTTTTATATTTTCTTTTCAGGCAGATTACTGAAAGTACTTTAGGTCAATGTTCTCTATGAAAAAAACTCTCTTGACTTTGTCCTTGTTTATTGTTTATGGGACTCCATTAACATGTTTTGATTATTGTCCTTGTTGTTTTGTCCACCAGGGAGACGCTGGAGGATAATTTGGTGAGCGCCATGGAAACCATCGACAGCGATCAGGGAACCGGCCAATCAGCGAACAACAAACCCACCCTGATGTTTAAAATCGCTTCAAAAAGTAAGAAACACTCAGAGCTGCAGGCAGAGTTCACATGGAGACAAGACGAGATGAGTTTACAGGACAAGATATTAGGGAGTTTATAACAAGGAGATGCTTTTATTTTGAAAGGGCCGACTCTGTGGCGATCAACACAATCTGCAGACAAACTAAATGAACACATTTTTCTCCTTTTTTAAAATGCTTTTTTCTGATAAACAACTTCGTGAAGATATAACTAAAATGATAAATACAACATTTTTTGTCTCAGACCAACTTCAATGGATTTTTTTTGTTGTGTTATCAAACATAGCATCTGATGGTCGAAGAGTAACGAATCCCCAAATTAAAAGGATTTTAGATAATAACTGCTTCTGCAAAGAAATCTGTCCACAACATCCTGTAAAAAACATGTTGAGTGAGTTGCCATAAAAATGCATGTTTTGTTCTTTGTCCGTTTACAACAATTAGACATTTCATCCTTTATTTGGATATAGGGGAATTACAATTTGACGCAGCAGCACAAGGGAATTAAGTTATCAAAGAAACAACAGTATCTAATGTGTAGCCCGGGGTGTAAATAGCATTGTTAGCTACGGACACCCGGGTGTAAATAGCATTGTTAGCTTTAGACACCCGGGTGTAAATACTAGCATTGTGAGCTACGCTACGGACACCCGGGTGTAAATAGCATTGTTAGCTATGGACACCCGGGTGTAAATAGCATTGTTAGCTACACACACCCGGGTGTAAATAGCATTGTTAGCTACGGACACCGGGGTGTAAATAGCCTTGTTAGCTACGGACACCCGGGTGTAAATAGCATTGTTAGCTTTAGACACCCAGGTGTAAATAGCATTGTAAGCTACGGACACCCGGGTGTAAATAGCATTGTTAGCTACGGACACCCGTGTGTAAATACTATTTACACCCTGGTGTCCGTAGCTAACAATGCTATTTACACCCGGGTATCCGTAGCTAACAATGCTATTTAAACCCGGGTGTCCGTACGTAGCTAACAATGCTATTTACTAAATAGTATTGTTAGCTACGTACGGACACCCGGGTTTAAATAGCATTGTTAGCTACGGATACCCGGGTGTAAATAGCATTGTTAGCTACGGACACCAGGGTGTAAATAGCATTGTTAGCTATGGACACGTGTAAATAGCATTGTTAGCTATGGACACCCGGTTGTAAATAGCATCTGCCTTATTTTTCTCGTATAAATATTTATGATTTGAATTGTGGAAATGCTAAATTTGTGTTTCTATTGGTCTGCTGTCTCTCTTGATTTCATTATATTTTCATATTTAACAAAAGTCTTTAATGGACCATAAATGGGTTTCTATAAAAGCCTGTCAGGATTTCTGAGTTTGTGATTGAATCGGGACAGAAAATAAAATGTCCTGTGTTCCTGCTTTGTTGATCACAGTATATTAATGATCAGTTTTGATAACGTTGCTGCTTGTTTCCTCTCAGGATATCGGACGGTGGACGCTCTGCTGCAGCGGATGTTCGAGTCCGACCTCGACCCCGAAGACTTCGCAGAGAACGACGATCAGAACGGGAACTTTGCAAACCCGGCGTTCAGCGCTGCGTAGAGACATTAATGCACAAATACTTATAAAGGGAAGCAGATTCTATGATTTATATACAGTTTTATACTCATCTCAAATGTTTATCCAGTGTTATATTTTTTATATTTCTGTCCTGTAGCTCTGTGTGGAAACGCATAAAAAATATTTACACGGATCATGTTTTATTTATTTTTTACCCTGTTAGTGGTAAAAACACGAAAAGAATAAACAAAGTATGTTTTTATTGAACAGAATTTTCACAGTGAACACATACACATATACAGCAAGATTGTATTTTGACATTTTTTCTCTTTAAGAAGAAAACTCTTACTTCTTTCAAACAATTGAAGTGAGCAGACTAAAAAGGGCATGATGGAAATATGTGTAAAAGGAAAACATATATAAAAAAATAAATGTTCATTTATAAAAACAAAGGGTCAGTGTAGTTTTAGTGCATGTAAATGGTCTGCAAAGGCTAAAATCCCTGTGTTCCCTCCAGATGGAGTTTCTCTCCCCCCTGCCTGAAACACCTCCATTGGGCTCCTTTGTTTACTTCCGGAACATTATGAAATCATTATGTAACACTCACGCTTCTAGTAGCTAGAGCTCCAACACATTGGACGTGATAGGCTAAGGGGCGGGACATCTCTAAGCTGTTGACCAATCAATCAAAGTTTATTTATACAGCTCAATATCACAAATGTTACATTTATCTCAGTGGGGACTTTACAGTTTGTACAGAATATGAATATGACACCCTATGGACCAATCACAACAGAGCAGGCCAGCTAACCAATCAGAGCAGACTGGGCTCTGGTTTCAGACAGAGGGTGAAAAGAGGTGCTGCAGCACAGGCAGTATGAGAACAATAAAGAGCTTTTTGAACATTAAAGCATGGAGACATGTCCCAGCAGAGGCATAAAATACAAATATGAACCTGATAATGAGCAGAATAGGCCCTTTTAATAACTCTTCTTTTGAAATTCAGTCAAATGTTTCCACCTCATGAGATAATACTTCATATAGGATAACTATAGGTTTGTATAGTATTGGCTAATTGGTCATTACAAAAATAATTAGATTAAAAATATGTAGTAATCAAAGAAAAACAAGACCCTAATCTTAATGATATACATTCAAAAATACAAATATTTATTTAGGAAGTTGCATTTACTAAAAGACCATGGGAACAAATTAATGAATTTGGAAGTAATTTTCTAACATTTATCATATCATATTATTTAGCTAATAATTCAGCATTATATGAGCTCGGTCAGATTAAAGATATGATAAGAAACTGTAATAAAATAATCTAGATTAAAAAAATAATAATAATTGATGGGAGCAACATTTTAATGTGGGTGTAAAACTGGAATTAAAATTATGAATGGCCTATAATGGCCTACAGTCAGTTTAATATTGAATTTACAGGCTTATTCTATAAAAAGGTTTGTATCATTAGTTGTGTTGAGCATCTCCTCTATTATAACTGTATTATGGTAAAATGAAACCTGCAAAGCGCTCTAATAAGTCCCACAGATGCAAACAGCTGATTGGATGTGGACAAAAGCTGCAAAAAAGCAAGTAAGTGAAATTTAAATTCAGATTATTTTGTTGATTATATTAAAAGAGCTGCAGCAGAAGTGAAGTGTACATTTACTCATGTAGTGTATTCAAGTACCGTTTAGAGGTACTGGTAAGTATTTCCATTTGATGCTATACACAATATTTCTACTGCGTTGCATTCATCTGACAGATATACAGTAGTTGCTGCTTTTTATAAAATACTACTTCTGTACAATGATAAACATGTGGTTGTGTCAAAAATACTGTGTACTTTTACTACATGAATACCTGTGTGTACTGTACTTACACAGACTCCATGTCAACAGGGGGCGCTATGGGGCTCTAACATGCAGACACCGAGGAAGTGTGTGTGTGTGTGTGTGTGTGTGTGTGTGTGTGTGTGTGTGTGTGTGTGTGTGTGTGTGTGTGTGTGTGTGTGTGTGTGTGTGTGTGTGTGTGTGTGTGTGTGTGTGTGTGTGTGTGTGTGTGTGTGTGTGTGTGTGTGTGTGTGTGTGTGTGTGTGTGTGTGTGTGTGTGTGTGTGTGTGTGTTTGAGTGATGCTGATGCTGTAGAGATGGAGCAGAGGGAGTGGAGGAGAGGATCCTGCTCGGCTCCGGACAGAACACAACATTTAGGTAAGAAAAATAAAAAATAAAACATCAGAAAATGTTTAAATCTGATGATGGCAGCGAAACATCGAGCAGGGAACCGAAGCGACTTGATGCTGTAGACTCGGGGTGTGTGTCGGTGTGTGACACTCTGTGTTTGTATGTGTGTGTGAGGCCACAGGCAGGATGTCGGATGAGAGGCACTAACCAGGAAACAATCGATGGGATGTTTTGTGCTTTTATTGAGAATTAAGGCCTCCTGCTTCTCCGTTAGATGTTATTTGGTCATCGTTAGAATAACATTAGAATACCATCAGGAAAGGCCCGACCGTGAATGGGAGGATGAGGCGTTCAAGTGCTGGTTGAAGGGTGGGACTGAACAGTACCGCCTGCTGTCTGTGATCATAAATTTAGGAGCGTTAATGTAAAGATGGAGACAATAAGTTCACCTCACAGCGTCCGCTCGGTATTCTATAAAATAAAGAAAATACTTAATTATAAAGTCTACAAGATTATGTAAAGTAAAATAAATTCAAAAATATATAAATATTAAAAAATAATCAGGAAAGGTAGGCCTATTAAAGGTGGTTTGTTTACAGTTGGGGTATTTTTTAAGTCCTGAAATATATACGATAAAATATAGAATGCAATATAACATGTATATTTGATATAAGGACATCAAATAAATACAATTCAGTAGGCCCACCATAATGTTAAAACAGTTATACAATAAAAGGCAATAAAATAATTAGATTTTAAATAAAAATAAAGTTTAAAAGTTAAGTTGCATTTGACATAACATGTTAAATATTCATGGGAAACCTACAATATAGAGTAAACTACAAATACAAAAAACATGAAGTTTAAAACACGTTGATGTATTTTTGAAAGTTTAGGTATTTATTTGAACAGTGTGAAGGTCTGAACAGTGGGGGTAGCTTCAAATGTGTCCTGAAATCAAATCAATACTGCAATATATATAATAAAAATATCAAGACATTCATATTATAAAAAAATACAATAACATTTAAAAAAAAAGTAGAATATCCTCAAAGTGGAAATAGTGGAGAAATGGAAGTAGAGCAAGGACTGAGACCCTTCAGTCAAAGTTTAAAGGTCCCCTATTATACTGTTATTCATCAGTATATTATAGGTCTCAGATATATACAAAACATGTCTCTGAAGTGTTTGGCTCCAAACACCAAACAGATCATTGCAGCATCCCATAATCCCCTCTGTTTCAGCCCTGTTTCAAAAGTGCTGATTCTCTGTCTGTTACTTTAGATGAAAATAAGGAGCCCCTCCCCACACTCATTTTCAGACAGGTTTTTATATAAATGGATCAGGACAAAAAGAGAGAGAATCTTTTTTCCTGAAACTTTCAGAATCTCTTTCCACAGAGGGGACACATGTTGATGTAGAAGAGACATGAACAAGTGGATTTTGCACAATAGGTGACCTTTAAATAACTACGGAGATTGAAGCTGTTCACATAATCAAAAATGATGTCACTAGAGAGGAATAACTTAATCAGACTTTGTGGAGAAAATAGGTTGTTGGAGCCAAAAGAAAGTAGAGAAATAAGTAAAAGCAGTAAAAGAGAAAACATTATAATTTAAACGGGAATAAAGTGAACAACTGTGCAGACACAGAGGGGAATAATTTAGTAAGAAATTAAACATTTGAAGTCATCCTATTTACATTTGGGGAAACACAATGGTCATTTTTCAATATTTTCTGTCATGTGGGAGACCATTAACAATTACCTAACTTATTTATGAAAAATAGCGTATTAACTGATATTTTATCTGATTTAAATTCAATTAAATCAGATTAAAAAAAAGTCCTGGTCCAATTTTAAATATACACAAAGTATGATTACATGTAAAAAACCCTACCCTTTCAAATAATTTTAAATATTAAAATTAAATGTTTAAACTTTATTAAGAATAGTTTATCAAGAACTGGAAAACAAACACTTATTTAAGACAAAAGATAACATATTTAATCATATTTATAACGTTTTGTATACAATGTAATTCCTACGGTCAACTTCTGAATGATTAGGAAGTCAAGGTTGCTTAAGTAAGTTCAGCTGTCATCAGAGTGAGTTTTATTTCGAAATCCTGCACCGGATGTTGTGTCTGTGCGCGGTGACGCTGGTTTGGTGGATGCGGCTCTGCAGTGCGGACAAACAGGCTGGAGCCGGAGAACCTGACTGCCACAAAACCGCCTCTGTGACAGCCGGTCCGGGTCCACCTCACACGGGTTTATGCATCTGCTTCTGTCCCGGGTTTGACTCCCGGATCCCGGTCCTGCAGGAGGAGGACCAGCCCGCATCCTCCCATCTTCTTCCTCCTCCTCCTCCTCTTCCTCCTCCACCTTATCTGCAGAGAACCGGAGGAGGACCAGGGCTGCAGGTTTTTAACGAGCGCTCCAGGACTCTAAGGGGACATTATTTTTCTTTCTTTGTCTGTTTCTGGTCCTGGTTCTGCAGCTGGTGTGTTCTGCACCTGGTTTGATATTTTGGGGACTGTTATTTAGAGGAGAGATAAATGGTGGTTTAGTCCTGCGGGAGACTGAGGCCCAAACCCCGGCCCCAATTCTAGAGGAACGGTGGGTTTTCTGGACCAGGGCGTTTTGTGCCGAAATAAAATCCCAGATGAAGATTCCCAAAAGGCGGAAAAGGAGCGGACGGTGCGCCAGGTAGGCCTGATCCGGACCAGGTCTGGGACTACATGCATCAGTGTGTGTGTGTGTGTGTGTGTGTGTGTGTGTTTGTCTGTGTGTATATGTGTGTGTGTGTGTGTGTGTGTGTGTGTGTGTACGTGTGTTTGTCCCGCAGTGATGCGTTAACCCAAGTGCATTTATTCATCCTGCATCAAAAGGCAATATGGGCCTTATGATCACTTACTAGGCCGGGACTGGTCCGGGTTGTGTCTCTGTGCTGATCTTTAATTCATAACTCGGGTCAGTCCGGGCCAGATTTATCGATCAGCAG